ACACAAGCGAACGCAAGACATAGATTCTTGTCATGTACGTGCGTCATTGGGTGTTAAATTGTATCGCGTTGTCGACGATAGAAGGAAATGGAAGATAATCTTGTTAGCCACATCGACCGATCACCATCATCATCATCATTATTATTATTTTCATAGGCCATCAGTGTGAAACGACAGTGGAAAGAAGAGACTGATTGATTTCCGCATCCAGATGTTCAAAGGAAAGAAAAGCCAATGAGACAGGATAAAAGTCTGTCGATGATAGTCAATGTTACTTATTGTTAACATCATATCTACAGTTTCACATTGTGTTTGGTTTTCAAATCTTTCGTTGTTTACAGTGAATATACAATGAAATCATTTGAACAAACATTAGTACAAGAATCAGTTTTGATCATCGATCAATTGTATCCATTGAACAGCAGTTCTTCTCGGCATGAGCTTAAATAAATAGACTAATCAATGCTCATAACATCATCTGTCCTGATGTATGTACGAATGAATGAATAGATTCGTCAAAATTCTCTCCAGCATATCGCTTATCCAATTTCGTATAGATTTTTTGAAACGTATTGATCTTTAGAAAAGACTATTTGCAAATTACTCTCCTGCTCATTGAACAGGTGTTAGAATGTATGCACTTATAATCAGTGATCATCATCAACAGATTGAGAACGTAACGCACAAGGCGTCAATTGGCAAACATTTTGTTTTCACACTTTTTTTTCTTCTTTTCAACAATGTTTGATCCTTCGTTTTGTCGTTGTCCGACAAGCCCTAAGGGATTTTGTTATCCGCATTGGAACTGTCGATCAAAAAGTAGAGTACAAAATGAAAACGACTTAGGAAAAATATTGACAGACATATGTCTCTTGATGAATGTCCGTATATATGTGTGAGAGAGGCAGAAAAGAAACGTCTAATGCAGTTCGAGTATTGTCGACAGCTTTTTCGATAAGGCGAACGGCAAATATTATCCTATAGATACATATGAGTATGTATTATATGTATATGTTTAGTTTGATGTTTGAGAATTTGTATTGAACGATGACAAGTGCAAATCGGGAAAGCAATAGAATACACAAAGTTTTATTTATCTGCATAATGGATGAGATGGCCGCAAGCTACCGTTAGCTTATTCACTTTAGTAGTTTTTCTTTTCTAATCTATTGGATAGTCAAACGGTAGGTGAGTACAAAGGCATTGCAATCATAATCTTTTATTAGATAATCTACTAGAGTAGTTTTTCTAATTTGACGGACCATGGATAAATCTCCATTTCATTTCTCTGTGCTTCGAGACATTTGTGATATTTTAACAGAAAATTAATCATTGTACTCGAGATTCGATAAGTGTAAGTGCTCTCTCTCTTTCTCTCAATAAATCTTTCGAGCGTAAACGATGCGAACAGCATGTCAATGATTTACAATTGTTTATATGAAAGATATTCGAATGCTTGACTGGTTTGGCACTCGGATAGCATTTGCCGGTTTTGTCTTGCACTTCTCAAATGTGTTGTGTCAAACATTGTCTTTGTAACATAGAGGAAAATTAGTACGGAGTAGCATAGACAGATGTTCAAGCGTAAGTTGAGTATCTCATTAGACAAACGTTCGATGAGTGACAGCAAATGAAAGAAAGACAAGAGGAGATGTATCTCTTCAATCTGTGTAAGAAATTTGTCTTTTCAGGTCATTTGTACACATGTCTGTTCGAGTGCGACTCAATGTCATAACATTTTGTCATTCGATTGTCCTTACATGTGATATGGAAAAAAGCAAATTAACTTCATTTTTCTCCCCGTACTCAATTTTTCCTCAAATATCTAACAGTGTTTTTTAATCGATGATTGTACATGGTGAGCGCACACGTCGAAGTTAACTGTGTAAAGAGCAGTGAAACTCAACGCAGCGGGACATCTTTTTAACAAGACTGGAAAAAGAAAATTCATATACAAATGATCTGACACATCTAGGAAAGTGTTGTCTTAACCGATAATGATATCTACTCTCGTGTGCGATTTTAACACTTCATTACCATGAACGATAATCTTCGTAGATCTTTCGTTTTCTCAATTGATGATTGAACAACATTGAGAAAAGGAAATGAATATGTCACTACTTAATTTGACATTCACCTATACACTAACACTGAATCGTGCTATGTAAAGAATAACATGACATCCGTGAGACACACACATGCAGACTCATTGATAACAGTGATTAGAATTTGAAGGAAGGTGTGTGTAGATGGTAAGTATATGCTTGGAATGGGAATGAACAGATTCTGTCTGACAAATACTTCCGATCGCGGAACTATCGTACCTTCTATTTATTTGACAACGAAATGAAGTGTATGAGATTAAGGTGTTCGAAGAGGAAATTGATCGTTTCCGTCAATAAAGAGATATCAAACGTGCTCATTACTTGTGTCGTACTTTTCTTCACGACTTTGCTCGAACAAAGTTCGTCGTTGTTCCTATCCGCTTACATCAGTGATAAAAATTCGATTAATTTGCCTAGAAGCAATTTGCAATTATTACAATACAACTATCTTGTTAGCTGAAATCATTCGAAACACTTCTGATAATCTATATTGAGATAGTTGGACACTCCGCCTTTCCCTTTTTTCCTTGTTCGTCGCGTTTCTATCTTTTATCGCAGTTTTGATGTCATCATCATTTGATGAAGAGACATCTCTTAGTCAGTTCTACGGAATAAATGTTCGTAAGTATAATCTTCCTCTTGTCATCAGTTCTCTTCAACCAACTGATTGAGCTGAGTGTTAGAAGACGACGAAACATTAATGTGCATGCCATGTAAAACCAACGTCCCGAGAGAGGGAGAGAGAGCAAGAGACAGATGACTGCAGATTATCATGACAGTTCGATTGCTGATGAATGTTCTCGCGAGATAGAGAATAAGAAAAAGAGTCCAACTAGAAACTAACAGACGACAAGTGACATGCAACAATCTTTTCTTTTCTTTATTGAGATAGATACAAAATACATACTATTGCCATTCGATACACATCTACACATGTCGACACTAAATGATTTATTCATGATTGCTTGCTTACTCTAGACTAAATGCAGATGAAAGAAACAGGAAAAAAACCGTACAAGAAGAAAGGCGTAAATGATAATTATGATGATGGCTCTTTTCGAGCACGCACATATGCGACAAATAAAAGATCATGATGTCTGATGAATATGAATCGATCTTGATGGATTTACTCGAACAGATAGATCATGTATCAAACGCACAAATCTAATAGATTTTTGCCTTGTAAAGTGCTCTGACTTTGAATATTGATCAATCTCAAGTTGCTTTTTCGCAAAGGTCTTCAGTTTTTTTTAATATTAAACTTGATCTGATGGTCAATCAACGGATTTTTAATTCAAGGTGGACTCTGATGATCACCTTGTTGATTCGTGAATTGCAAGAACATGTATGATCAAAACGATTCATAATAAATCTATAAATGAAATCTGAGAAAACGATTTATCGACAGGCTTTTCAAGTTCTGCTGTAAACTATTGATATAAAATAGAGTTTAGAACAGTTTTAATTTAACAACAGTTATGTTAAAACTAAAGCGACACTGTCCAGACGTATCTTCATTAGTCTATAGGTACAGACCAATAATATATTGGTTTGTGCATACTATACTTTCTTTCGATATGCCCGGTAAAATTTTGTTCAATTTTCAATTAATCTCATACTATTGATAATGTGTGAATCTCCTCAACTGTGGTATATGACATCGTACTGTATGTTTCCCTGTATTTTCAAACTTATTCGGAAGACAATTTGTATTTCGTAGATGATTGTACTGGTCGTGGTCGTCCGAGAGGTTATTGTGTTGAATATCCAGTACCACACATTTCTTCGTCGCCTGAAACCATTCCATGTGAAATATCCGAAGAGACTTTTTCGACTGAATCATTCTGTGAACTTGTCCCACCATCAGTTCCACTGTCTAGTGATGATTATGAAGAAGGCGCGGAGCAGATTCTCGAAACTCCAATGAAAATTTCCAAGCCTGTGGTTGCAAAAAACATTTCAGAACCGAAAAAAGATCTCAAGAACAAAGAACGTCATGATTTAGTAGTTGTCTCCCAACCTGTAGAACTACCATTGAAAAGCATAGCAAAGGAACAATTATCAATTGTTCTCGTACCATGTGTACAGTTTTCTGAATCGTATCATTCGCCCAGTGAAATGACTGTTGATTTTTGGCGTCGATACCATACGATACGTGTGTCGTTTTCTCAAAGGGAAATTGGTCACTTCTCAACTGCTAATCGTGCTGATCGTATTCGATGTCGTGAAGATCATCGATATTTTAAAAAGTTAATCTATCCATTAGAACAAAAAAAGGTTCATTTTGATCTTAACGTTGGTGCTGAATATCTGATAATAAAAGTGGGTATTTTCGAAAAAGCTCAATTCCTATTTCAAATCGAAACTTTCTGTTTCAGGAACCGCCAGCTTCTCTCGACTCGATGTTATGGTGGATCAGTCGACACAAAGATGAGTTATTTGTTAACAAAAAGTAACACATCGTTATTTTTATTTCAGTCTTGAGAGTCAATTGACTTTTATTTTGTTCAGGTTTACTTTCGACTTTTTAGCTTGGCGTGGGACATTACGTAAAATCATGTCTTCGCTATTCGATTCTATCATGGACTGGCGCATCGGGGTGATTCGCTGGAACGGCTGTCATTTTATGGTGGTCTTTCATACCGAAACCGAATTGAAAATCGAGGCTGAACAAACGCCAAGTGAGAAGCGTATGCAATACTGGGGACATAAATTCGAAGATTATATCACATCGGAGAATCCGCCAGTAATTCCATCACCAAAGAAGATCTTTTGCACAATGAATAAAGCTGCACTTGGTCGTCACAGTTTACTCTATAGTTGTGAAATCGATGCTTGTACATCAAATTCCACATTTGATGGAGAGAAAAAGCAACAAGGTGTTTACGTAGAAATCAAAGTGGCACATGCCAAGCATCTACTTGATTTAAATATTGCTTCGTAAGTAACCCTACACAGGTGATTTCTGAGAAAAACATACTTCATTTCTCTTCTAGTTCTCGAAAATATGCAAAATGGTGAGTTAAATGAAGAATCTTATTTCACTTGAAAGTATTTTATTGAATATTCCAGGTGGCAACAGTGTTATCTAGCTGGTATAAATCACATGTTACTTGGCTTTCGAAATGACTATGGTATTATTGAATCTCTACAACCACTTGGCGTTAAAGACATCGAAATCCGAGCAGTATGATTCTCTTCGGCAATGTCGATGTTAATTTCGTTTGTTTCTTAGAAAACATGGAGTGCAAGTGCATTTGTTTCATTTCTCGATGAATTTTGTTCATTCGTTCAACGAACAATTACAGAAGATTGGTCATACGAAAACAGGTCAGTGGAAAAGAAGTTAAAACTTTGTTTATGTAGTGTCTTTCAGAGCTGTTTATCTGTTTTATTATTCTCCAAAAGAGAAAAAGATCAAATGGCGTTTTTCAAACGAAGAACAATACCAATTTCTCCCTGATTGGTTTATTAAAGACTTTTCATGAGTAGAGAATTTGTTTTTGAGTGAATGTATTTGTAATAATTTTGTTATAAATTAATAAAACTTTGAATTGATGTTAAACGCGCCTTTGCTTTTCCCTTCTCTATGATCATCATTCATTTTCTCTTCTGGTCATTGATCCTCTTTCTTTTCTACATTTTAATTAAATGTCGCGAGTATATCAATGCATCAAGCCTGTTCTTCGGTGCATTATTTATTGAAAAACTTCGTCTCACCGACATCTTATTCGATAGTTCGATCTATCACTTGTCTTGTAATTATTTCTCTTGGCTTTTACATAAGAACCCATTGGTAATTCTCGTTAGTATCTTTATAACTATTTCGATCTTTTCCACGGTATTGACCATGTTTAAGCAATGGATTAAAATTGGCGTACTTATAACAATATTGTATTGGTTTAGTAGTTGATGGTAGAGAAGAGAAAAAAAATAATTAAATCAAACTGAAATTGTTTTTCTTTGTTCGAATTTTTCTGTTATTTTTTCCTTTCCGATTGAAGGAAGAAAGTTAGATGTTTGTCTCGGGAGTTTATAACTGATTTGGGTGTGTGCATATGTTTGAAAAGAATGTTGCAAGATTACCGTCGGCAAAGAAAAATCAAATCATTGCCATTGAAGTCGAAAGGTAAATCAGAGTAGTATTAATTGTAATTTCCCGAAAATTGATTTCAGTTGATCAAAATTTGAAACAATGTGATAGTAATTTATCGATCATTACGGATATATCGCTTTTATCGGTTTCGAATTCATCGGTGGATCAACCGGATGCAAATGAAGTCTCCGATGATTCGTCGAGTTCTCAAGAAAGCGTTTCGATTGAATCCCTTAGCGACGAGGAAGAGCCGAGAGCCAAACAAAATGATCTCGATTCATACATATTTGATAAACATTTGAATCGGATACCAAGCACTGTTAGTAGATTAACCGAAACAAATGCTGATCCATCTGTACAGGGGTTGTTGGAGAAGAAGAAATTCAGAAAATCCGACTATGTTGAGGATTACGATCCGTGTTCGATTCAAGGGCCACCGTATGCCGAATACATTAAACAATTGAGGGGAGCAAAAATGGTAGTTAAACCACAACAACGACAATCGCCTCTGATTCCAGTTCGAACAACGCGATCAGAACAGTTGAAATTAGCTCGACAGCGATCTGCTAGTAATGATCGATCAGATGAATTCACTCGAGATTCATCTGCAAAATTGTCGCAATACAATTTATCAAGTAATGTACAAAAACAACAACCATTGATGCCGGCAGTCAGCCATATATCTCGCCTACGGATCGATGACAATCATAATAATTTCAGACGTGCCAAGTCAGCTCAATTATGTCAAACAGCACTTAGTTCGGGTGGACCATTGCGGTTTTCCTCGTTACTTCTCAAACAAATACAACAAGATCTGCAAAACGAAAAAGGTATGTATATGATCAGCTTCGTATATCATCCTTTCTCTTTTAAAATAGCGAAATATCCACCAATAACCAGTACCCTTCTTCATGAGCATTCGCGTGCACTCCTCACTAATCGATACAAGACGAAACGTATTCGTCGATGGCTTAAAAAACTCGTTCCAACCGATTATCTCGAGCACAATGAATATGCCTCCAATGAAAGTACTCTCAGTACTAATTTCACCGATAGACTAAATGAGGAATACGGTATACTTTCCGACGATAAAACTGCAAATAACAGCGAAAGAACACTTGCCGAAGCTCGTCGTGTCCTGCCGATATTTCGATCGGAGTTCCATCGCAAAATTGAACAGTACAATCTGTTATTAGCCCGTTTAAAATCCGATTTATATATTATGTGACTTTAAGCTACACCAATAAACCTCGCCTTTTGTTTTTTAAATATAGACATCATAAGTAAACGATACACTACAACTAAGATGTACACACCCGGTCAAAATAAGTTGAATCTCAGTAGAAAAAAAAAGATCCCTTTGAAAAGTATAAATGTCACTGAAGAGGAAAACATATATCTATTGTAATTCCACACGTTTTCGTAATGTTGTTGGACTAGTTGCTCTTGCCATAGTTCGACTGACACTCTGCATTGTCTGCGCCATTTGTGATATATCGTCCCAACGTTGCGATTGAATGAGATCTTCCAATGATTTCAAGCGATCGATTTCTTTCACACGATCTTCAAGTTCTTGAATCTCAATACGTAAACTACGTGTTAAATCTTCTTCACTCGCAAGCTAAAGAAATATTTTCAAGAAACCAATGATTGATTCATTATCGAACCGAATATTTCATTCCTTACCCGTTGTTTTAGAGTACTAATCAGACCGTTCAGTTGATCCTTATCCCGTAGAAGAATATTGACTTCGTCTTGTAAACGTGTATTACGTAATTCATATTCATTCGATTCACGTTTAGCAGCCAGAGCATTTTGACTTTCAATGTTTAATTGTCGTTGCAACTGTGTCAGCTAAAAATGTTCGACTTTTAGTAAATCTACGTGAAGATGTTTCTTCGTTCTTACTTGGCCGTCAAGATCTTGATTTTTGCCGATTTCACCATCTAGTTTCATTTGAATACTTTCAATGGTACTACGAAGAGTTTGTTCTTTCTTTCGTAGTGCGGCAACTTCTTTGTCTTTTGCTTGGAGCGTGTCCGTACGTTCTCGTAATGAAAAACGAAGCTGGAAAAGAATGAAAATCTCTTTAAAAAAATGCAAATTTTCATTAATATCTCACTTGATCTAATTGACGCTCGAATTCCTTTGTTAAATTTTCAAGCCGTGTCACTTCTTTCATCAAAGCACCCTTTTCATCGGCTAACTAAAGAGTGAACATGAATGTGATGAAGTATTTTCAGTGAAATTATGTTACTTACTTTATTACGAAGAAATTGAGCCTCACTATAGCGATTATCGTGCAATTTTAATTCTTGTCGTAGTGTATCAACTTCTTTCTTTAATAAAGGATACAGATCAACTCGAGAACTTGAAATCATAAACTACAAACCTCTAAATCAACCACAATACCCTGGAGACGATCTCTTTCTCGACTTGCCAGTTGTTGATCGTTAAGGCTTCGTTGTAAATCCTTTGTTTCTAATGTGAGATGGTAAACTTCATCCGTTAAAGTTTTATTTTGATTCGATTGCTGCTCAAGCTGAAAAAGTAGGTCATTTCACTTATGAAATCACTGAATTATTTACAAGAAAGCGGACCTGTTGTTCGAGTAAAGAGATTTTACTCTGAGCAGTTTTCAGCTCATCCGAAGAAATACGTGATCGATCACGAATTTTCTGTAATTCCTGATCACGCGTTCTCTTTTCTTGTTCGAAAACTTCCCGAGCACGTCGAAGCATATCGAGTTCATCTAGTAGATTCTGCTTTTCAATATCGAATTTGTCTATAATGAACAACAGAAAACTTTCACAAAGTAAAAACAAAGCAATCTCCTCTTACGACGAAGTTCATCCAAAGCAACCGTTAATCCATGTTTTTCACTTGCTAACTGATCGAATTGCGACGATGTTTGAGCAAGATTTCGCTGTAAGTCACTACGTTCTTGTTCAACCTTATAAACCCGATCGTCATTCAGCGTTCGACTGAGTACGATGGAGTTTTTATTCAGCTGGTCACGCGTACACTGTGAGTTAAGGAAAACGCTAAATTCATCTTCGAAAACAAAAGAATCTGATCAATAGAAAAAGGATATAGATAGTGGCATTCGGTTTCCAGATAATAGATCTGTTCTTGCAATTGTCGGATGTATTCACTCTCGAGATTTTGCGTTGTTGAGTTGGTCAAACGTTGTTGTGTAACATTCGATCGACTAAAAGGAAAAATACGAACCAAACAAATCAATCATGTCAATTACTTTTGATTAAAAATATCTGTCCATCATCGAAATGATACTATTGAATCCAATGACAAATCGATGAATGAAAACTGATTATCCTTATCTTCATCTCTGATCGCTTCTTGTTTCGATGTTTTACATTGTGTGAAAAAAATGATTATAGTGAACAATCGAGATGAAAATCACAAGAGGAGAATTAAGATAACGAGTGACCGTAACGAAAGCGCTACACTGTCAAATGTATTTCAAAATCAAATTTCATTTCTTTTTTTTTCAATATTTCAATAAAAATTCTCTTTAGGTCACTGACTTTAACCTTCAATTCGCACTCCTTCGATTACGACCAAACATTCAATCCTTGAATAGTTGATTGCGTAGGTTGCCTCTCATCTCTGCATACATTTTCTCTTTTTCCTATCAAGAAGAAGTGAGAATGGACAATGCATATTAAGACTTTTCGTCCTCTATTCTCTTTCGACATATATTTATTCACTAAAATGCAATCATTTAACTATTTCCATATTAAACAGACATACACACATCAATATATGTGAACATATTCAACAGAGCAAGTTACGCTTGACCAATTTTCTCTCTTATCTTCTCTTTCACATCGATCTCACTCTTGATCGTTTGTGTTCATTTACGTTTCTCTCTCGTCAAGAAGGTACACTCTTTAACTAACCGATGGGTTCGATGCAAACAACTAATAATCATCATAAACGTTATCAAACACCGTTATCATCGCCGAAATCTCTTCATAATGCACAAAATAAACGAACGGATCGCTTTCGAACGACTGTACGTAGTGCAACACTTCGAGCATTAGCTGCTCGAAATTTTCACAATTTTTCTTCATCGTCAAATGATTCAACAACAAATAATAGCATATGCACGCTGCCAAACACGATTACAACGATCAATTCTCAAAACGATTCCGATCCTTATTTGAGTGACTTTGATTATCGAAAATTCGCGACATTGACTGGCTTGTCCGAAGAGAAAATCAATGAATTACATCGAGAATTTTTAATTCTATCGAACAACGGTCAACTTTCCTACGACCAATATCGATCGATGTTTGAAAGTGTACCACTTCAGCGAACCCCCGCACAACTAGAAAAACTAGCTCGACAAACATTTGCAATTTTTGACAAAGACGGAAACAATTACTTAGACTTTGCCGAATTCATCGCCGCTTACATCGCCATGGAAAGAAATGAACTCTCACTAACTGATACACCTCTCCGACGAGAATCAGTCATACCATCATCTATATCACAACCACCACACTCTACTCCTCCGGCAACAATCACGACCGTCCGACGACATGCAACAACTTATTATAGTCCACAAAAAGCTCTCGTTAATGCTTCGCCGTATATTCCGCGTCGATCAATGCATCATCCAAACAATTATCCTAGTTATCATCCTTCTCAATCCCTTGCACAATATGTCTATGTTGCTCCACAATATGGATTCAGATAGAAGAAAATTACAAGATAAAAACAGATCTTTGCTTATTTTGTTTTTCTTTACTTGAAATCTTGTCCGGATGTTGTTCGTTTTCCGCTGGTTGATCGAAGTGATGTAGTTTTTGTTCGTTGCCATTTCTGAGAATCTGTTAACGGCGCCGTACAAACCGGACATTTCTCCATCATTAATGTTGACATCTTAAAAAGAAACGAGGAGAAAAAGAAAACGATATAATGGGTTTTTCGAAAGAAAGATTTCGTCTTCTTGTGCATGTTTTTTTCTCTCCTATATTGAAAGAATATACGTGAAATTAATAGGTATCGTCATAAGCAATATGTTTTGTTTCATTTCTCCTTGACAACCCTCGTTTGAATAACAGAATAAAACATGCTAGTAAAGAGTTGTCGCTATATGCCGAGAGTTATTTTATTTTGCATATCTTCCTACTCAACATGAATACAAGTCGGTAGACAGAGAGACTAGGCATCGATGTTTGATCCACAATCATTTTACGCAAGTTCATTAATTCATCTGGCACAACATTAGACTCTTTCATTTCGAAAACAAGTCCTAGGATGAGATATGTGTTACATTCGATCTCTTGCTTTCGCTATTAATAATACTCATCATTCATTAATACGGCGAAAATAAGAGGTTGACGTTCACACGTGTCCAACGTCAATCATCTAATACGCGAAAACGTGCCTCTTTCATTATATAAGATTAAAATATGATTACAGAGTAAAATTGGATCGTATCGCACCATATTAAACGATCTCATCAATGTAGCGATCGGTATGATCACGCCTCCTATCCTTCAAAGTTTTTATTGGGACGATCATCATACATTGCGTGATTCATAAAAAGAAATCTTCGTATCCTTTAATCTAATCTGTTCGAAAATAATCATACGACTTCACTCGTATTTCTATTTGCTAAAGTCATGACACGCGTTGCTGAATCACACGGTAAATAATTTCTTGATGCCGATCAGTTTCTCATTTCTCTCGTCTTCAATTTAGACTATTTATTCAAATTTTTGATCATTGGCAATGCTTCAACTGGCAAAACTTGTATCTTACATCAATTTCTTGAAAATGAGTGTACGAAAACATTCTGTTCTGGTTGATAAAGGTAACTTATTCTAATTCGATTGTAGTTAGACGTGAAGGTACACATACGATTGGTGCGGAGTTTGGATCGAAAGTAGTTACTGTCACAAATAAAACTGTCAAATTACAAATCTGGGATGTATGTTCCTCAATCACTGTATTCGATATTTAGCTTTCACAGCAAAGCCTATTTAGACTGCCGGTCAAGAACGATTCCGATCAGTCACACGTAGTTATTATCGAGGTGCATCTGGCGCTTTACTTATCTACGATATTTCGAAGTACAAAAATTGTATTTCGGGTTCTCCTTCTAATCTATGTGTTGATATATTTTAGTCGAGAAAGTTACAATGATGTCACTAATTGGCTAACAGATGTTCGTGCGGCAGCTAGTCCAAATATTGTCATAATCTTATGTGGTAACAAAAAAGATTTAGAAGATGATCGACGTCAGGTGACATTCCTCGAAGGAAGCCGATTTGCACAAGAGCATGGTAAACAAGTTTGAATCTGTAAGATCAAAGTTATTCTTTCGCTTTCAAATAGATCTCATGTTTCTTGAAACATCCGCATTAACAAACGAAAATATCAGTGAGAGTTTTGAACAATGTGCACGAATTATTGTGTCAAAAATCAATTCAGGTGATTTTTTTCGTCCAATTCAAATAACTCATTCTTCGCATTGTTTTTTTAGGTAATATTGATCCATCTCGTATGTATTCGGGCATTCAGTGCAATGCTACAACTATTACTGCGCATCAAAATGAGAATTCTTCGAATAACCTGAAACAAAAGGTCACATTCAATTGCACTGCATGTCAAACATAAAGTGAATTGCACTGAAAATGTCTTCTTGACTGCTTTATATTATTAGAAAACATATACGACAGATTATTTCTGATATAGCAAATATATTCCATGACTTTTCTGTGTTTTCGTTTGATAATGTTGCTCTATGTGTTTTCATCTGTATAAGTTTTAAAATCAAATACTCGTGAATAATAAAGATATATTTTATGGTCAACACATAACTCCTTCATCGCCGACTGACACCAGACAATTGTAAATGAAGCAATTATGAAATAAGGAAGAAACAATAAACTAACGACACCTACCTATCAGAATAGGAAATTTCAGATGAATTCATACAAATTTGATCTTCTTTCGTTGAATTTGACCGGAAAGAATATTTTCGGAGATCTTGGTTAAAACTCATTGGTTTCTAAGCAAACGGTTACCTAGGTAAACGAGTAATCATGGCTGTCTGTCTTTAAGCTAGCAAGTTTGTTCGTTCTTAGATACTCTTTGATTGATAACTGCACACGACAAAATAAAATGGTACATTGGAATATTTTTTTTATTGAATTCAATAAAATCTCATTGTTGGTCTATTTCTAGTCTGTTGATGAACGATACAGTTACATAGGAGAATGGTACGATCCTCAAGCATCGATGACACGCACTTATCAAGTACTCTTTTATCCATCGGATAATAGTATCGAGATGGTAAGCCCCAATTAGTTTCACTTCGATATAATCTATCTCAAATCCTTTTTTTCTTCTACTAGTATGATACTAAAACTCGTCGTACATTTTTGAAACGTACAAAATGCGACACGATAAAAATGCAAGACTTTTTTGTTGGAAATACAATAAATATCTTTTCTCGATCGATCAAAATTGCCGATTTTGGTGATGCATTTACTGCTAAATCTGTTGGCAAAAATCAGGAAAGGTAAGAAGAAAAATATTATCCAACTTTGAATTTACTTATCAACTTATCAATTAGAACCTTGGCAATTATCAAACCAGATGCTATTCGACATTTAGGTGAGATCATAAGTGCAGTTTATGAGAATGGCTTTAACATTGCTCGAATGCGAATGGTGAAATTGTCACAAAATGAAGTGATGTATTTCTATTCCGAACACAAAACAAAGGATTTCTTTCCGTATGTGTTTCCCCCCATATCATTTGCTTTCTTAAAGTTACCATAATCTTTTTCTAGACGTTTATGTGAATTCATGACAAGTGGTCCACTTGTTGCTATGGAATTAGTCGGACCCGATGCAGTCAATCGTTGGAGAAGTATGATTGGACCGACAGACACACAGCGAGCTAGAGAACAAGGCTCACATTTACTACGTGCACGATTTGGCACAGGTATGAAGTTCAATCGAAGTGAAAACTCTTTCCAATCAGATCATGTTTAGATGGAACAAGAAATGCTTTACACGGATCTGATTCAGCATCAAGTGCTCAACGAGAAATTTCCTTCTTTTTCGGATCAAAATATGGTGTTAATACGGCATGCTACAACGATACGACATGCTGCATCATTAAACCACACGCCGTTGCTGAAGGAAGAGCTGGACACATCATCAATGCGATTCTAATTGCCGGCTTTCAAATTTCTGCTATCGGAACGGTATGTTCATTGACTCTAAGAATCTGCTTACGAACTGTTTCTTTCTCTTTTCAGTTTAGCTTGGATAAAGTAAACGCCGAAGAGTTCTTTGAAGTTTACAAGGGTGTTGTGCACGAATATCCAGTAAGTCTTTTCTGTATTCGTGATAGATTATGTGAAAAATTCGTCTTGCGTATTTAGAAAATGGTTGAAGAATTGATGTCAGGTGCGTGTATCGTTCTCGAGGTCCGTGCACAAAATGCTCAAGCAGTTTTCCGTGACTTCTGTGGGCCAGCTGATCCAGTATGTTCTTTGTCAACAAATCAGTACTTTGAATGATCTATTACTATCTTGTTCAAAGGAAATCGCTCGTCACATTCGTCCAAGAACACTCCGTGCTTTGTACGGAAAAGACAAAGTGAAAAATGCTGTTCATTGCACAGATTTAGCTGAGGATGCTTCACTAGAAGTAAAACAACCAAGCGAGGGATTTATTTTTTGTATGCTAAAATTTGTTCTTCTTTTAGGTCGAGTATTTCTTCCGAATTTTAGATCATTAATGAATGACGACATGACAATTTTCCACATTGGTTTTCGTTTCTTTTTCTAACTATTTACGAATAAAATAAATCACGTGGTCAACAAATTACATTTCTTGGATTGCACATTGTTTAGTCATATGAAACTAAAATAATAAATGAAAAAAAAACAGTTTACATTCTTTCGAAACGCGTTGCTTACTCGGTGGCAATGGTCTTCGTCGACCACGGGTCACCTCATGTTGTTGAATAGGATGAGGTGAATGAGATCTTGTAGAATGAGCTTGTAAATCATTGTTTGGTGATGCCCCCCGTCGACGATTCTGCCGACGCTTGTGTTTATCCGTTTCATAAGAAATTGTAGTGGGAGGATCGACTGGTCTTGTCGACTGTCTTTCCTCGTTACGAGATGGCATTGCTGATCTGTTCGATGACTGTGGTGGAGGAGATATGTGCCGACGATGATGATTATTATTTAGACGTGGGCGTTCACTTGGTTCTGATGATGAAGTGGAGGACAATGATGATGTTGTTGACTGTCGACGATCTCTAGACTGAAACTCTGATTTTGGCGTTTGCGTAGATGATCGATTTATCATTTGTATATCGGGTACTAGAAGAATTAGAGGTTTCGTCAGATAAACTATTTTTAAGCACGGATTTTTCATCACAAAACTGAACAACGTAAAGCACCATTTAACATACCCTTGGGTTCAATTTTACTCCTCGCAAGATTTCCGCTTCCTACAGTTGATAAAGCATTAATTAGTTTTCAGATATTTGCAAAACAATCATTCAAATGTTTAAAATCTCTTTTTCTTCGAGAAGAGCAAAGACAATACGACTGATACATATTTGCTTACCAAATGAGCTTGCGGAGTTTTTCTTCCATACGCAGAAACCGATTCCTCCGATCAATGCTGCAGCACCAACAAGCGACCCAACAGCTATCCATGCTATTTCACATGCAGAAAGTGAATCTATGAATACAGATCAATCAAGACAGAAATTTAGCAAAATTAGATCCTTTAGTGGTAATACTTCGCTCTTTGTCTGTTGGTGGTGTCGTCACTGGTGCTAAAATGAAAGGTGAAATAAGAAGACGTGTTCAATTGTTAGTAGAAAGAATGAAGGTTATGATGATAAACAGATGTGTAGCATGAAGAGAATCAATAGAAGTTCTTCTTTTCAGCTAAGATAATCGTACTTGTAGAAGGCGAAGAAATGGTTGAATCTATTGAAAAGTCTATTATTAGAATCTTATTATCTACATTATATTACTTAGGGAACATACCTGTAGGCACTGTCAAATATGTACTATCACTGTAGATTGATGTACTTTCTGAAGTGCTATACTCACTAGTATACGATTCCGAGCTGGTCATTTGTGTAGGAACGGAAGTCTGAATGGTTGATGTAAGAATGGTTGTTGCTGAAATGATGCTAGTTTAGTACAGTCTTATTTTCGCTCTGATAGAGTATCTGCTTATTTAGTTCGCTATCAAAAAGCAGTATATCTTACGTTCGTCTAGACATTTCACTATGTTGAGGTTGAACCTTTGTTTTCCATAGATTATATCGTATTGAATCTCCAGATTAATACTAGTCAAATTCGATCTGTATTCTAATTCAAACTGATCGACGTTGTCAGAGAAGTAACAATCAGTCGACGTATCATTTATTTTGAAACAGTAGCTGATATTGCGAACACATTCGATATTTTTTGTACGATTATGTTGAAGAAGAATTGTACAATTGTTTGAAGAACCAAATGTAACTACGTTGGGTGTTTCAATTAGCCTTCCTAAATCAAAAATTTGATATTCAAACTATAGCTGAGTAACAGACAGACATGCATTTTCCTTGGAAAGAAAAATCTTCTTTGACTGGTCTAAGTATTAAAAATAGAAAAAAGTTAATGCATAGATATCTCACCGATGTCTACAGGTGGTGACTTAATTTGAACAGAATTATTTTGAGCTAAAGTATATTGGACATCTACATCAATGCGCATTGAATTATTTATTTCGTTCAGACTACTATTGATGATTTCGAAATCAGTTGCATTCAATAGATTTGTTTGATTAACTATCAAATGTGCTGAATTTATAATACGACCAACTCCATAATCTAATGGTGTTACTGAATCATTGATGCGAAGATAGGCTTTGCATGTATTTGAAACTTTACGTAGCACAACGTCAACTGCATTCAGTTCAGCGTCTAAAACAATAAAGACTATACGAATTTATTCATTAATGGTTATAAATGATTACGGTAAACTCTCAGATTCATTGAACATTGAAACATGTTTCCATCATTATAAGCGGTATAAGATCCGTTATGAACACTTTTTACATTATTCAAACTTAAATAAGAATCAGCATCGTCGATTTCACCTATAATTGCGTTAATTTCTGAAGCTTTACTTGAATTACAATATATCCATTCCCCGTCGTACTCAGCAAGAGTATAGTTATCGAATAGCCATTTTTTAGCATCAAGATACACCGTCTTCACAGCAACCGTATCGTTTGTCCATGCATGGAATGTAACATTTGGTTCAGTACTACTTAATATCGCAGAATGATTGAATGCCAAAATCGACAAGCAATGTAACGATACAATTAATAGAATCACATACATACATTTATTTAACATTTTTGTCTAGAAATAGATACTTTGGGATAAAAGAATCTTATTATAGACGAGTACTACTGTTAATATCCATTGCTGTGAAAGGACAACTATATTCGTTTATTAAAAACATTCATCAAAAAGTATATATTATTCTCAGAATTCGAAGGAAAGATTAATAAAAATTAATACTAAAACAGTAAATATAACATATCTGACTCGACAGCCATCGTGTTGTCAAGATTATTCATTAGATAAGAAACACAAATATTTATAATAAAAAAAAGTAGTGACAATAGTGACTAGATATCATGCATGTTCTCTATATTTTATGAGAAAAAGAATTTATGTATATATGCCATTTTCGTTACTATACGAATGTCATTTTGTGATTAGTCACTAGTAGTGATGACTAGAAATGCGCGTTATTTTCTCATACCATACAACGTACAGTGTTGGTATTATCTAAAATCAACGAATATGTTGACTTCGCTCATAGAATAAGAACTCAATTCGTAGTACGCAAAGCGGATTACCACACAACGAATCTAACTGTAGTTAGAAGTATTGACACATTGGTTTCTACATATTGATTGGTGTTGTTTAGTTTTGTATTTCTATCACTTGTGTCCAACATAAGCATCATGTCGTAGTGTTTATTTAGCTCATCATGAGACGGTCAAATACTATGCTCATGAAATCAACTTTATCAATAAAATTTCATACTGAGGTATATTTTCATTTTTGCACGGCTTGATGACCATGAGTGGCTTTGGGCATATTAAAACGTTGCCAAAAATAAACGGAAAATAAAATTGTACAGCAGTAAAAAATACAGTGTTAGAAGATATCTCTTTGCATTACGGGTCGCCATACAGCATAGCCAGCATCAGTATCGAGCTTGGTTGAATGACCAGCATCATATTGACCGTATAGTGAAGAATCTGTTTTTGAATCGACTTGATCGAACGAGTAGTCATCTATAACATGAATGCAGTCAATCAATGTGTTAGAAAAAAAGAATTGATATGTAAAACGACTCATTCTCGTTATCATTATAGGATTTCGAAGCCATGTTGGACAAAATACATTAATGATGAATCTCCTCAGAGAAATCTTAGCTTTTCAAAGTAGAGTTTTCACATATTTCTCATTCAAAAACGGTTTAATTGATACAATGATTAACTACTGTCTCCACATTTGAGCTGTCTTAGCCACGGTAGTTTCTTATGTATATAAGTTTTAGGACTAAAACGTTATGAAATGTCACTTCTCGTCTTCGATTCTACTCTAGTTTTCTGAGATCAATTATTGATGTCGTAGAGTAAAACTTCTTTTGAAGTACCATACAAGCTACGGAGTGCTCTTTTTACGCATTTTTACGTACTTGATCTCTCCTTGCAGCCATGACGCCGGCGTCGATAACAAAAGAACCCTACTGCTCCCAATATACCGACGAACAACACACTGGAGACAACTGATAGAACAATTATTAAAGTTGAGCGGTCTGACGGCGAACCTAAAGTATACACACATATGACTTCCTAGAATACATCTTGAATTTTATTTCAAGAAAACATATGCTAGTTGATTAAATAAAATAAGATGACCAGATTCAAACACTTATTGAACATTTGGGTGATTTGGACGAAATAAATCAGGCCTTTAATCTTTTTCCAAACGGGATACATACAATCATGATGTCACTAGTATTACAACTTCACAATAAAAAGTATTCTATATACCTGAGTTTTTCGTAGTACTGGGCGCGGCAGCATCCGTTGATATGATTGTGTTAGAAGAGGTGGCTTCTGTAGTATCCCCTAAAGATTCTGTAGTTAATTCAGTTGCTATTGTCGACGATGAAATGTCTGAAACATAGTTTTCAAAAAATAGCATGACTGCATTTCAAGTTGACTTATCTCTAACTCATTGTTCTCTTTTTACGAAAAAAAAACAAAGGAATCCTTTTGTGAAAGTGACATTCAACTCTATCAATACAACAAGTAAAAAATCCGTACTGTACGACATCAAATATATACGACTGAAAATGAGATAAATACTCTACATTTGTTCAGTGAAAGTCTATGTAAAAACACGATTCACTTACTTGATATTTCAATAGAGTAGCTAACAGCAAAAGTCAGATTTACTTTGCCTCTATTTTCCCCATAATAACAAATATAGTCTTCTTTCATCGAGTAACTTATATTTTTAATCATCAATGAATCGTTTGTAACAATGTAGTCATTCTCACATGATGTCTCGTTTACAATTAAATCAGGTATTTTGGAGCATTTCGGAGTTCCATTTTTATCGACAGTCGCAAAGAAAGATGTTGTCGGTCCCTTATTGCACAGATCTTGGAGTACGGCCCAATACGTAAGGAAGCTTTTCTGATCGGGATTACATGATGAAAATCTAACTTCTGAGTTAGGTAAAACAAGATAATAAGACCTAGTATGATTGACATTCTGATGAGCACCACAACCAATGGGTTCAGTCTTATTTTGAATGCTAATCACTTGCGCTATAATATTATTCGTATACATATGCAAACCAATTATCCAAACGAAATAAATATTGGAAAATGCCATCATATGCACAGTGATGTTTTCTAAAACTGGAAAGTGAATTGGGACACAAAATCAAACATTCATCTTTTTTGATGCATAATCATAACTAAGAAGAGGCAACTCATAGTAGCATTCGCACTCCTAATAATCCAATGAATGGATTTTAAACTATGATAACACTTCTCAACGAAAGTGAATCGAGATGACTTGTGTAAATATTGTACTTTTAAATTTAATTTTTCTGTTCGTCGTTATATTATCAGATATACGAATCATAAGTAATTTAAAGATCTCAAATAGCCGACTAAAATTTTGAGTACATAGAATAAATTAATTGGAAAACTAAAAGTGAATAAATCACACTTTTTTCAAACAAAAACTTTGAAAATTATTAACTACACTAATCCTGTACAGACAAATGACGAAGATGTCGCTAGTTCGTGTGTGATCTGCCTCCATTAGTTCTATCGTCTTTATAGATGGCATCTCTTTAACATATGATGTAGACCAATGAACATTGAAGAAGTGACGTACGTACATACAATAACATATATACAAACACAATTCTAAATAATCTTTCGAAACATTATAATATCAAACTCTCTACGTTTTTGTTTTTTGCATCAATACTATTGATAGTAATCTCTTAATTTGCAGATATTTCATTGAGTATTAACATTGTAAGAAAATGTCATTAACTCAGTAAGTAAAATCGAAATTTATCTATTTTTTCTACGACATATCTTCTTCCTTTTATTTAGAGTACTTCCCCAACCGTCGATGACTGGATACGATCGAGAAGACGATGAATATGATAATAAATCAAGAAAAAATGAAGTAAGTCCATACGTAGTTCACTCATTGTCATACTGAGCCTCTAAAATCTATTTTTAAAGGTTGTGATCGTATCAAAATTCACTGTTCCACCGTATGGTCATCGAAAAGATTTCATTCCAAGACGACCAGAGGTAAATTGTCAAACTTTGATCTATTGCTTGTCATCAAGTTCAATACGTTTTCAGATGTTTGGCGATGGTGGTGCCTTTCCTGAAATTCATATGGCTCAGTATCCATTGAATATGGGTTTTACGAAAAATCAAACATCGAATGCTATTCAACTTCAAGTAGATGCTTCAGGCAAACCGCAATTCGATGCAATTGTTAAACAAAATGTTAAAGGAAACAAAGTAAGGAAGCGATTTTCACATCTGATTCAATCGAAATGCATTTTGTTTGCAGATTGTCTATTCAAGTTTCGTTGATCTTTTGCCGAAAGAAGTCCGCGAAGATGATCCAAGTTTACAAAAGCCATCAGAAGAAGAAATCAAAGAAGTAAGTGACATGGCTATGGATTATTTCTATATAGTGGTGTTTTCTCTTAGAAAACTGAAAAAACCCGGCAAGCACTCGAAGCTCTTGTCGCGTCGAAAGTCTCATCCGCTTTACCTGTTCAACATGCTGAGAAACAAGCACCTGCTCAATATATTCGTTATACACCTTCGCAACAAGGAGCGGAATTCAATTCTGGTGCTAAACAACGTATTATTCAAATGGTTGAAGTACAAAAAGATCCAATGGAACCACCTCGATTCAAGTACGAAATCAGAAGATCTTCTTTTTCTTGGATATACTAAATCTGATTTATTCTTATAGAATCAATAAGAAACTTCCACGTGGACCACCTAGTCCTCCCGCTCCAATTCTCCATTCACCAACCCGAAAAGTGACTGTCAAAGAGCAACAAGATTGGAAAATTCCACCTTGCATCTCAAATTGGAAAAACTCTAAAGTAATGAATAGATTTGTTTTGGATTTACTTCTTCGTTAAAAATGTATTTTTTTGTAGGGCTATACAATTCCACTTGATAAACGTCTAGCTGCCGATGGTCGCGGTCTTCAAAGTACACATATCAATGAAAATTTCGCTAAACTTGCTGAAGCTCTATATACAGCCGATTTGAAGGTGAGATTGTATTGAGCAGAAAATTGAATAGTTTTCTTCTTTTTTTTTCCTGTTTTTAGGCTCGTGAAGCAGTTGATATGCGTGCCAAAGTTGAAAAACAAATGGCGAAGAAGCAAAAAGACGAGAAAGAAGAACGACTACGCGAATTGGCTATGCATGCTCGAACAGATCGGGCAGGTATTCGTTCCTCTGGTAAATCATTTATTTTTATTAATATAAAAAGTATTAATTATTACCATTGGTTTTATTTAGATAAAAGTGATTTGGAAAGCGCTGAACGTGACCAAATTCGACAAGAAAGACAAAAGGAACGACAACGTGCTGCTGCACTACAGCGAGCTGGAGGCGACAAAAAGTAAGAACAGAGCGATTCGTTTTCACAGAACAAAAATATTCTCCATCGATTCTAGAAATCGTCCAAAGGACCGTGATATTAGTGAACAAATTGCATTGGGTGTGCAAACCGCAACCAGTTCAGGTGTTCAATATGATCAACGTCTATTCAACATGTCTTCAGTAACTATTCATTGACTTAAATCAATGGTTTTTCTAGTTTACGTTCTATTTTTCATCTAGGGTTTCAACAGTGGTTTAGGCGATGATGAAGCCTATAATGTATACGACCAAGCATGGAATTCCTCTACAGCTGTTGCTTCACAAATTTATAAACCAACCAAAACTACAAAAGATAATTTTGACGACACCGAAGCTTTGATCAGCGCTTCGAAACGGTTCGTACTTTGATTTTTCCTTTTTTCATCGAAAATGTCTATGATCATCTTTTATTTTAGATTCGAATCCGAACGTGGCTTTAAAGGAGCTGATAAGGGAACAACACGCGACGGTCCAGTTCAGTTCCAACGTGAAGAAGATCCATTTGGTCTTACTGGTTTCTTGAAAGATGTACGACATGGTGGTGCTGGTGGCTCAGCTCCATCTGCAAATCCCTCGTCTAGTTCATCATCTAAACGTGGCAATGCTGACGATCGTGAAGAACGAAGTAGTGAAAAACGTCGCAAGAAATAGAACTAGTGTTATCTGATTGTTTTGTTTTGTATATTGTATGTCATTCACTTCTTCTTCTTGTTGTAAGTCTTTATCTTTCGATCTTTCCTCAAATTATGTATGGTAGTGAGAAAAAGAAAATCTCCTCATTTTACATATGTCATTATTGTTCGCAGTTTTCATCATCGTCCCGTTTGTCTACACAGCGTTTTCTATCAGAAATAAAACTGAAACTGCACATACGATCAAGATCGTCTGACGTGAACAGGTTTTTTCTTTCTCCGATCAGACGAACGAAAGTCAATACAATCCCATACGTTAAGTGCGTGCAGATGTATTGATGTATATAACGTGGATTCTAGCAGAACAAGAAAAACAAGTAAGTGTGTTTTTTCGCATATGAAATTATTATGACCGATAGCATGTATATAGCTACATGTAAACGAAGTAATCTGAGATGACAAAAGAACAGAAAAAAGGGTTATTGCGGACAAATAAGTAACGTTTCTAGGCTGCGAAAAGTTTCTTACATGTAAAGAGTAATTTCAATTGAATTTAGTTTGCTTGGTCGCGACATTTAAAAGTTGATCTCAAACCATGGTCCAACGTACTGTCTAATTCGTAACTTTTGCAAAACGTATTCTGAAATCGCTTTGCTCGCTCTTGTGCTTTTTTTGCACATACAGTTTTATTTTTCTTCTTTTCTATCGGTTTGTCGAGCGCGCCATACGTTGTACTAGAGACGCAGCGGTAGGACGGAAAGAATCGCAAAGCGTATTGTATTTTCAGTTGGTACATTGACTCGTATAGGACATATCATTTGTACAGGTTTTAGATAAATTGTAATTTTTTACTGATTTTATTTACACAACATGTCGACACAACAGAAGATGACTATTGGTAATTATTTACTTCGACGATTGAAATCATTGGGTATTGACATTATCTTTGGATTACCCGGTGACTACAATTTGGTAAGATATTTCTTTTTTTTTCATATCTTTATAACTACAAGCAATTTTCTACTGTTTTTAGCCTTTTCTTGATCAAGTCGAAGGTAAAACTCCGAGGAATTATTTGTTTATGCTAACCTGGATTGTTTGGTTTTCTTCATAGATTTCGACGGTATTGAATGGGGTAATAACTGCAATGAATTGAATGCTTCCTACGCTGCTGATGGATACGCTCGTATCCGTGGCATTGCCGTAAGTTAATCGACATCTTAATCTCAGATCTAAAAGAAAACCACTTCGTTCCACACTTCTAGGCTCTTGTCACAACTTTCGGTGTCGGTGAACTTTCAGCTATCAATGGTAATGACTCACTATTGATTGGTATAATGAATACATATTGCTTACAGGTATTGCTGGTTCATATGCTGAGATGGTACCTGTCGTACATATTGTCGGAACACCTCCAACTGCATCTCAAGCTAGTGGAGCTATTCTTCATCACACACTTGGCAATGGTAATTTTCGAGTGTTCGCAAACATGTATAAGGAAGTTACTGTAAGTGATTAGCGCTCATCAGCATAACTCTGTTGATTAAAATATGACTATAGATTGCTCAAGCAAATCTAACGAAACTCAATGCAGTGGAAGAGATCGATCGTGTTCTTACTCAATGGTATGGTTTGTTTTCTTTTCTTGCCGTACCTAGATATGAACAGTCTTGGTTTTTGTGTAGTTTACTCAAAGGTCGACCAGTTTATATTGGTCTAGCTGTAGACCTTAGTGATTATGAGATCAATATTGACCCAGCGAATATCAAACCACTCAATCTCACAATTCCACGAAATCCGAAAGATGAACATCAAGCAGCTCTTGAGAATATTCTCGAATTAGTGCACAAAGCTAAAAAACTTGTTATCATCGTCGATGCGTACGATAAATATCTATATCATACGCATTTCACTATGTAAACATCTGTAATTCTATTCTAGCTGTGCTATTCGTCATGAAATGATGAAACAAGTCATACGCTTCGTTGAACGCACTCAATTACCTGTCTATGTCACTCCTATGGCCAAAGGTGGCATCGATGAAAATCATCCACAATTTCGAGGTGTCTTCTCTGGAAATTGTTCAACCGACCAAGTACAAAAGGAAGTCTACGACGCGGATTTAATCCTTTCAATTGGCTCGATGAATAGCGATTTCAATACCGGTGGTTTCACTTATCGTCTATCACAAAAGAAGACCATTGGTAAATATATTCTCTTGGTGTTTTTCTTTCCAAAATGTTCTAATGAATGATCTGTTGATTAGAATTTCATACGTATCATACAAAAGTCTTCTACGCAATTTATGACAAAGTTGATATGCGTCAATTATTACCCGATCTAACAGAACATTGGCCAGCAAATCTTGCTCACCAACATTTCGATAAACCGTTCACTATTGACCCACCTGTTTTGAATCCAAAGCATCAAAATGAAATCATCCATGAATATTTCTGGCATAAATTACCTGACTTTATCCCAGAAAATTCAATTGTTGTCGCCGAAACTGGTACATCTGAATTCGGTAAATTCGATGGATATTAATTTATTCTCGGAAACAAACGCGATTTTCTCTTAGGTATTTTCAACATGCGTGCCCCTAAAGGTGTCACATTCTTGACACAAATTTTATGGGGTTCTATTGGTTATTCAGTCGGTGCTGCTCTAGGTGCAGCTCTCGCTGGCAAAAAAGATAATCGCCGTGTTTATGTATTAGTTGGAGACGGTTCTTTTCAAGTAAGAAATTTCAAACGGTGAAAAGGAGATGTTTGTTTCATGAAAATTCCTTTCTTTCGTTTTTTAGCTTGTTTGCCAAGAAATTTCATCGATGTTACGATTTAAAACAAACATAATTGTTATCTTATTGAATAATGATGGTTATACAATTGAAAAGCTTATTCATGGACCTGATCGTGCTTATAACAATATCCAAATGTGGCGTTACTACAAGAGTTTCGAATATTTTGGCGACGGCCTCAAACAAAATCGTGATCAGGCAACAACAGGTTTCGCAGGCCAAGTTAAAACTCGCGACGAATTTGAAAAAACTATGGCTCAAGTTGCCAAAGAAACTGATAAGACACATTTTGTTGAAGTTATTATGCCACCTATGGATGCACCACAAAGTTTAGTTCTTACAATTGAAGGCACAAGAGAGTACAAGAAACGCGAACGAGAAATGCAAGAATGAAGTTGACTCGGTGATCTCAATTATTTCTATTTTAGACTTTTACTTTCTCACAGCTGAAGAACAAACTTTTTAATGTAGTCAATGATTCTATGAACTGATTAGTTTAGTTCTACGTTTCTTCATTTAGTTATTCAATAAAAATATATCATATTTTGTAGAATATTCATAGGTTGCGAGTGTATAATCATTTAGAAGATGATTTTGACTGTACCTATATGAAATGATTAGGTAGAATCTGCACGTTGAAATCGAACTTATTTAAATGATTTGTAGTTCAGGATATTTTCTGGGAAGCAAAAGTAATCAAAAGGATAAATAATGTTGATTTTTCACTCTAACAGATCAAAATCATTTTTTGATAAAAACTAATGTGAATAAATTGAATATTTTAGTAACTTAACAAAAAAAAAACTATTTGTTCGAACTATTCCTAATGAACAGAATAAAAATATGTTCATGTTTTCATGGCAAACATAATTTCATTGTTTGTGAGTTAAGAGTAGTTTTATCTAGTTCTTCAATTCTACTTATCATTGCAAATGGTACTGAGTATGGTGATGAAAAAACACAACAATGGTTGATATCGATACTTTCTATATAGCCATTAGAAGTCAGATGGATACTTGCCCAAATCAAAATGGAGTGTCCGCTTTTTTTCTTCGCCCCTTTTTTGCCTACAATCTATTGATGATCGTGCGGACTCATAGGAATAGACTGAGAATATCTCATACCACTTTGGCTAGTCTTGAAAGTGTTTGCCAATTTAATAACCAGTGGCTTTTTTCAGCACACACCAACGATTATTTGCGCGTGTATACGAATCTCCTGTAGCCTTTTACCTCAACTATTCATCCATTTTGTAAAAACATTCCCGTATTTACTTGTTTATTTGAAATTGATCGAACTATTACTTATGAATTACTCTTTGGATATGAAACAGCAAAACAATACTGCGTAGACTATAGATGATTCCGATGTTGTTAGGTAAGTGTCAATAATTACAAGTCAAACTAAGAAGTTCACTCTTCTTGTGCCACCGCTAAAGAAGCTATTTCCTTACTCAACAACGAGAAATTCTTTTTGTTCTCTTGATACACAATTAGTACAATCATATGTATAGCCTTTTTTAGTACTCGTGCCTATTAAATATTTATTTTGGGCGCAGCAAGAAGTATAATATAAACTAGAACTTTTGTTTCACGTCAGCTAAATTATTTCGGTACCATTGTAGATGAGGATGATTAAATAGCGATGACTGTTCAGCAATTTCCACAGCGCGTTTACAGAAAGAGAGTGTCTTTGTCTTCTCACCCATACTCTTGTATATAGTACCCAAGTGTTCATAGGACACAGCCAAATCAGGATGATTGGGACGAAGTGATTCTTATTCGATTGCAAGGACTTTTTCGTAGTACCTACATGCCTCTTTGTATGCTTCTTGATTTCTTTGAATTAGTTTTCATCATAATCAATATTCCGACTAGATCAGGATTTGTTGCACTTCCTTGAGCAAACGTCAATGAGATTCATGGATTTCGCTAGTGAATAGACAGCTGTTGAAAGATAGGAGTCTAGCTTTCGTTTGTTGTAGTTGTTTAAAATCTTTCTTTGATCAACCCTGACCACGGTAGACTATGAAGACTCCTCGAAATGATTATTTCTTGTGTAGTTACTGTATGCCGCTACAGGTCGTTCATGAAAAAACCCATTTGTTTCATGACACCATCATCCAAAAGTCGTATTCTACGGTTAAGCAAACGATAGAAGAAGCGATCACAAGTATACCGCCATATCGGCATTTTCTAGTGATAATCACGTTCCGATTGTTTGACATCCTTCAAGTCTTTTGGATTGTCAGCAAAGATTGCACGACAGTAGTTCTCATAATCTTCAATCTGTTGATCGTTGAAATCAATAGATAATAGTATTTTTTTAATGATTCGTGTACATATGAATGACGGTTCCAATTGATCTAACTTTTTATTGCCCTTGATGAAGGCGATGGACAGTGCATTTTGTTCGTATCGATGAGCTGCTTGTTTGAGAGCTTCCCAAATAGGTTTGATTTCTGTAAAAATTCATTTGATCTTAGGCCATTAATTTGCCCATTCTTTATAATATTTTTTGTTTCTACAAAAGACAAAAATACAATCAACTTGAGGGTGGAAAGCGTGGGTGAAATTTCGTTGTTTATAAGTGCAAAAAATAGAAATCAATCATTATTTATTATCTCAATATATTTCAAAGCGAGATATGCTTTAAATTTTCCATGGTCATACATTCGTCTCCGAACAGGTTCATAGCCCACTTGTCAAACTTTGTGAATCACACATTTCCAATGCAGGTAATCTTTCTCTGTCACTTACAAAAAGAAAGATCAACAGTTTATCTTGCTGATTTTTACGGAGAGAAATCAATTCTTTTCTTGGGCTCATAATTACTGCCAATAGACGAACGAATATTGATGAAAATGAACAGCTAAAACTCTCCTTTCGAAAATATTTTTGCGTAACTGATACACAATGCTTGTCGCCTGTGAAAGACATACAGTGGTGGGTAATCGGATTCAGATCAGTATGATATGATATTACTTGCTCTTTGCGTTGCGGAATAAAAATTCAATGATTAGCTTTTGTTTCAAATCATGAACATGTTTCTGATTAACATTGTTTTAAACAATCGACTCGTAATGAATTTCAATTCTATTTGTGAGCATCAATTGCTTTAAAATCTTCAGATTTACATCATTTTATGATACAAGCATTTTTGTCTCATGATTTCTGATTCGCAAAAGAGTGAAATTTGTACAATGTTATTTCAATTGAAAAAATTTATTCATACATGGATAAGATCAGAAGAACAAAAATAGATTTTAACCAATATTCTTATACCGTCGAATTTCTGTAGGTCTTGAGAGAAGACGGCGAAGTTCTTCACTCGCTTTATTAATAACTTCACTTGTTAAATGCTGATCCAAAGCTTGTTCAGTAGACCATGCTTGTAGAAGTGTAATTTGAGACTTGTCAGTTAAATTTTCACATAATTCATATTTCAAGCATGTTCGTTCTTTTTTTGCTTCGGCAATGGTATCATACAGAATCTTTTTCACATCTTCAGCTTTATCTGCTAGTGGCCAAAGATCAACAACAACATATACAATATCTTTCCGAGTATTCGTCGTCATCTAGAATAAAATCGGCTAATTATTAGGGAATATTTTTCATCGAGATGAATTTTTACTGTTTTGCTCCGCGAATAAAATGTCAACTTTGCGTTTCCTTTTGAAGAATAAAAATGGATTTTATTTCAGTAGTCAAGAAGAAAAAAGTGTAGGACACTCTTTTTTCTCTAATAACTAATTGACAAGAAAAGAAAAAAAGCGGATTTGTTGATGACAAGAAAATGAGGGAGAGAGAGAGAGGCAGACAGAAGAGAAAACATCGCTCATCTTCATTTCATTTCATTTCATTCAAAATACTGATTTTTTCGAGCATGATAATTACTTCTCACTAACACTCGAAGCTTACCAAAAGAAAGAAGTGGAAATAAGAGGAAAATTCATGAGCTCTTGCCAGATGCATTTTGAAAATCATCATATACTATGCATCTTATGAACAAAAGTTACTAAAAGAATTCACAGTGACATGCTCCTTTAGATTAGTGTAAATAATGCGTTAATACATTGCCAGACAGATAGGATATAAAAGACGATCGTAAGTTACTATGAAGAAGATATAAAAGTAGTTTAATAAAATTTAAATATTTGTTTAATGAATAAACGTTCTTTTCAGAAAACAAATCAGAGTCTTTATATTTAATATTTATTCGATTCCGTATCGTTTTGAGCGGTTCTGGTACATCTACTGCTGGTCGTCGCATCGACGTGTCAACCTCTAATTTGTGGTGCTTTGAACCCTATATTTTTTATGGAAGAATTCCTATTTGTTATCTTAGACGAGAAATACAGTTGCAACACTTCTTTTTCTACCTTAATATGCAAACGTTTGACATTGACATTAACCCTTCCGGGACAACGTTAGTCACCGGTGGCTCACACCATAGTTTACAGCATTCGGTCAGCTACAACAACAAGAAAGGATTCTTAAAAGAATTGATTTATTTATCAGATTTTATAGAGCTACCTGTGGTGCATACTTTCATAAAAATATATACAAAGTTTGCCAAATAAATAGTTATGCTTTAATAGAAATATCAAAATACTTTATAGCCTAAGCATATAGAAGTGCTTGAAATTTTTCAATAGTTTCGTCGTAGCAAGAAGATTTCTTCAGCAAACTTTGACTATTTTTTATGAAAATCTTTAGCAAAGATATCTCTACAAAATACAATAGACAAAGACACTTTTTTAAAACTTCTTGATTTTATATTTGACCATCCACAAAAGTACGCCAGCAACACTTCTAAAATTTGTTTAAATTTCCATAATTCTATTAGGCTCTTATCGTCCTATGAATAGTTATACTCTTCAATCCCGTTTTTAATGGGCTTTTATTTGACATAAAAGACAACCATATGCATCTTTGCATTCAATCTATATTCTTTGAAAAACATGTTTAGAAATTTCATATAAGTATATCGCTTTGAAAGGTTTAAATTAAAATAAGATCATCGATAGATTAACTCAGAAAAAATATAGGAAGGGTGTTAAATCGAGCATAATATTGTCGTCAAATTATATTAGAACTTTTTTTCTAATAAATATGAATTACTTTATGTTTCTTCATGCTTTCATGAACACTATGCCCTGAAAAAGAATAGATCATCCATGTGCTAACTAATGATTGACATGTATGTCACGATTGGGTAAAGTTATCGTCCAATGAAAATTGTTCTATGAATCCTTTATGATGAACAATCATTAATAAACATTTCACGTCTCTGTTGCAAGTCATATTGATAACTGACCATATTCTACTATATTAACACTCGTTGCTAATTCATTGTGTATTATATAAATTAACCAATCAAAACGAACGAACGAAATCAGTTTTTTTTCTATTCTTTACACAATTGTTTCTTATTCTAAACTAAACATTTATATAATATATACCATACTGTTGTTATTCCAGAAGAATGAATTTCGCTTGATCAAATAAAAAAACTTTTCACCATGGTTAGTATTGCACATTGGCTTGATACATTTACGTGTAGTAAATATGCGGATCGTTTTGAACGATCTGGTTATCAAAACATACATTCGGTAAGAGAATTTTATATCTAATTGAATAAATTTTATTGAATGCTACTTGAAAGGTATGTCGATTGACTATTGCTCAATTGCAATCATTAGGTGTAGCAAGCAATGATATCTATACAATAATGGATAATATCACACTTTTGAAGCAAAGTCTTAAAAGTTCGTCTTGAGAAATAAGAAAGGAGTTTATTTTGATTTCCATTTATCTGATAGGTCTAAATCCAACACACTACCTTGATCTTAATTCTGAGCCTCCAACATCGACCACTCGTTCTCGCACAGGTACGCTATTCTGCATACATCATATTCTGCCTTTACAAAGATGTATCCCATTTGTTTTGTCTTAAACAGCTAGTCCAGCTATAAATGCACTCAATCGAACGATGAGTCAAAATCCAACAGCATATTCTCCTGGACCTAATGTTAGCACACCACCAACAAGTAGTGGTCCATCGCCAGATCGCATTCTTCCGGGTCCACCTACATTTGACACTCCACCTTCGTACCATCGTTCAAATTCTTACGCTAATCCAGTTAACCCGAATACGTTCTTTGATGTGAGTCCATCATCTTCAACGTCATCACCTCATCGCTCAACATCCATCGATGCCTTACCTCCACAGATGGAACCACCACCATTCAATGATTATCATCCACAACCACCTCCGCCGCATTCTTCTCATCAATTTCAACCGCCAGGAATGATGTATCGTGGTATAAATCCTCCTGGTGGAGGCTATTATAGTCCACATCCGCCACGATTTTACTCGCCAGACCCACAACAACAACCTTTTATGTATCCAAATCAACGTATGATGATGCATCCGCAACAACATCCACCCTGGGGTGGACATCGACCATCGTTACCACCATCGATGGCGTCACATCCAATGCATTATCATCCATATGAACATCACCAGTATCGCATGCCACCATCACAACAATTTTGTCATCCAAACCATCCAATTATGTCAGACCAAAATCCAATGTTCATTAATCAGCCAGCACCACCGTTACAACAACAAGCTATGAATTCATCGACATCTAATAAACTATCAAATGCAGGCGAATCACATCCACATCCACTGCAATCACTTGAAAGACTTGTACTATTACCTGAATCACAGGTAATATTCTCCCTACACGAAATAAATCAATGTTTTACTCCATCTGTTTAGGTCATTGATCCGAAGAGTGTTGTAAATGAAATTCATGATCCACAATCGCCATTCAGCGAGTCTTTATCACCGTATGGAACTTCATCACCAAAAAATTCTGTTTCAACACCACCAAACACTACTATTGTTAGTAACTTACTCACAAATGACAAGTCTACTCTTGATCAGCATACGAGAACATCTGGCGGTTTGAAACGTAGTTCAACACATGACGAACGAAGTGATTTGAATAAAAAAAATCGTATGAATACAACAAATGATATGAACACAGGTGACTCAATCATCAGTAATCATCCAGTGGTAACGAGCCTCTTAACACGAGGCTTGAGCACACCAACGTCTCAAGCACCGCTACCATCAATTAAATCACTGCAACAGAAACATAATCCTTCATTTCTCCAACAACAACAACAGCAGCAGCAGCAGCAATCTCAATCGATGATGTTTTCGTCAAATCAGCCAGATACGCAACCATTTGTTGATGGATCGATCGACAACGACGACGGAATCCATTGCAAAGTAGAATATATTGAACAAGATTATGAAGAATTATTGACGAAGCTCCGATCGAATCTTAATAAATCTTCTACAGATAAAATTAGATTAAGGTTGATTTATACTTTTTCTTCTTTCCAGTATATCAGAGTTTGATCGGATTCAATTTGTAATTTAGCTCAAATACCATCGTAGTTTCATCTCAGTTGGATGGCGTATCTGAATCGCCGAGTACCACACCGAAATCCAGTACTCGAACATCGAGAAAACGTGACTTATCTACATCATCCGAACGTGGAACATCCAACAGTGAAAATCGAAGTTGTTCTCCTGTGAAAGTTCAATTAGATAAATCAAATAGTGATACTGTCAGTTCGTCATCAAATGGAATTGAGAAGAGACGTAATGGTTCTTTGGATCATCACAAATCGTCGAAACGACGATTATCAGAAAATAATTCTGAGTTAAACAGTTCGATTAACGGTCATCATTCAAATTTTATTTCAACGAAAATTCAAAAACCTAAAGTTATTCAATCACCTACTCATTCGAATCTTGACGATGACCAATCAAGTTCATCTTCTAATTCTACACCACAAAGACGAACGACAACAGAGCTTTCATCGAAACCTATTCGCGAAGCAAAGAAACGTTCATTGATTTACACTGGCAACACACGGCTGTTCTTAGAAACTGCTATCGCTGCTGGTTTAATGGAAGATAACGGCGATGAAGAAGATGAGGATAACGAATATGTACCACCTGGTGGAACAGTACCTAGTCATTCAAAACGTCCACTTCCTTCGTCATCATCATCGTCACCGTCATCTTCAGAGAGTGAAGATGAGTCAGCTAAAAGTATTGGAGAAAATAGTTCTAATAGTGAAGATGAAAGTGATGACAATGATGATGAAGAAGAGGTAGGGGAAGATGCAGAGACAAGTGATGACAATGATGAAGATCGAAAGAAAGGTAGTGATGAAATGGTTGTTGATGAAGAACCAAGCGAAAGCGGTGTTAATTGGAACGTGAAGAATCGTCCTCAACGACGAAGTCATCTAGTCCGTTTCGATAATATATCCAAAGAAGATGGTAACGATCGATTTATTGAAAACTCTTCTACATTTATTGTTTATTTTACAGAACAAAAATTTTTTGGAGCCTTAGAGGAGCAAGTGCCTGAATTATCCACGTATTTAAATGATAATTCCGATGATGAATATCAACTGAACGAAAAAGAACCTTCAGATAATGTAAATAAACCGATCCGAAGGTCTTCCTCGAAGAAATCTCAGCGAAATCCGTCGAGAGACGATCCTGAACAAGACGAACAAACAGTTGAAATCATAAAAAAATTCCGTCATGTCAACGTTCCACCGAAAAGAAGATCAACGAAAAAGACACATTCGAATGAAACCGCAACTATTTCGGCGAAAAATCGCTCGGATGAATTATACGTCATTGCTAACGATGATGTTACACATCGCATCGTACCAGGCACACATTTGGAAACATCTACCAATACAAAAAAGAACTTAACCGTTCAATCATTCTATTTTCCTCGAAGACAAGTCAAAATGAATCCTGTGGAAGATTTCAAAGCTGCATGGTGTTGCATCTTATGTTGGAAAGAACCTTACGAAAACTATCTCGGACCTTTATTCGGCCCATTTTCACTGAATGAACAATGCCAAGGATACGTTCAGAATAGTATGA